AAATTGCTGCTTTGCTGCTGTTTCCCTAGGGAAGACTTTGTGCAGCTCAGGATTTAATAGTTGACCTTATAGGTACTTCCTGCTCTCCAGAGACCAGGTGAATCTGTGTTCTGTAGAAACTCTGATCTGGGCCTGAGTCTTTTCATCAAACTGCACCCCATGCAATTCTGCATTCCTGTCCAGTCTCCTTTGAGTGGTCCTGTGCTGACTGGGGGGCAGATGAGCTGTCCTTGCTGTGTCCCAGTGTTCCCCTGGTGGGCCCGTCTCACCCACCCCCCGCTGCAAACACTTCCCATGGGAAGGTCCCTGGGATGGTCCCTGCGCCGGTCCCCTGCGGTGACTCACCGGCCTCTGACTGGCTCCCTTTTTTCTGTTGTTCTGGCTCCTCGCTCCTGCGTGAGTCCACCTATTAGTGGTTTTGCTGTCCTGGGGGCCGCCAAGGCCCTCTTCTCTCCTGCTGCCTCCAAGTAACTCCATCTGAAGGGCACAGCTGCGGCTTCTGCTGGCTCCTGCTCCATGCGCTCATCAGCTCCAGCCTTAAAGCAGCCGTGCCCAAAATGCTCAGAGGAGCATTTTCTTTCTCTCATCGAAGTTTCTCCCACCTTCATGAACTTGGTAGGTCTGTCCTCTTCCTCTGAGCTCCAGTGGCCCCGGCTTGGCTGATCTTACATTTTTATAGTTGTAAATTTGGTTGATTTGTGGGAGAGAGTGATGCTGGGGACCGTCTATTTTGCAATCTTGATTGGATCCCCTCTAGTTTTTAATATTTCTTGAAATTAGGTAGTTTTACCTAACATTGTTCTTCTTTTCCACACTTATTTTGTCTCTTATAGGTCCTTTGTGTTTCTTAGAATCAGCTTATCAATTTCCATACAAAAGCCTGTTGGGATTTGGATTGGAATTGCATTGAATCTATAGATCACTTTGGTGTTTTTGTTTGTTTGGTTCTGAGTTTTTTTTGGTGCTGGCTTGGATCTTGGTTTTATCAGAAACATACTCTAATGAAATGAACTAACCAGCCGGCAGATCTTTAGATCAGTTTGGAAAAAATTGACATCTTAAGAATATTGAGTTTTCTTTAATTTCTCTTAGCAAAATTGTATAGTTTTCAGTATGAAGGGCTTTCTCATATGTTTTCAGATTTATCCCTGAGTAGTTCATGAAGTGATGCCATTATAATTGATTTTTACAGATTTTTTTTACTTTCAAATACTTCATTGCTAGTATTTAGAAATGTAGTATTTAAAATGTTGATCTTGTATCCTCCAACCTTCCTAAATTCACTCATTCATTTTAGGAGCTTTTATGTAGATTACATAGACAGTTTTGTTACCTCTAAATAAAGACAGTTTTTCTTCTTTCTTTCCTATATGATTCCCGCCCCCCCCCCCCCCCCCCCCCCTTTTTTTTTTA